AATGAATGTGAGTTTTAACTGAATGTAAATATGCTATAATGCAGATTTGGTTTCCTTAACACGCCCCCGCAAGATGGAGGTGCCATCAGCAACTCTAATCTTGTCCCGCAAACAGGTAAATCTGGTAGAGTGAAGGGGCTTAGTGAACCCATCAGCAAGTTGGTCGGTGGAAGCAATGTGGGAGACGCGCAGAACCTTTTTGTCAACCAAGTCACGCACAAAATGAAGATCGACTGCAATGTGCTTCATCCGGGAATGCAGAACTGGATTGCTACTTAAATAAGTGGCACTCACATTGTCACAATAGAGTGCAGGAGGATCGGTGATAGGAATGCCAAGTTCATTCAGTAGATGAGTAACCCAGACAAGCTCAGATGAAGACGCAGCTAAGGCTCTGTACTCTGCTTCGGTGGAGCTACGAGCGACGGCACGCTGTTTGGCCGCTCTCCACAAAATGGGATTCCCACCAAGGAACACAATGTATCCGGTTGTGGAGAGACAAGTGTCACGGTCCCCAGCCCAGTCTGCATCAGAAAAGGCGTGAATGGAGAGGGACTGCTGTGGCCGGAGAAGAATTCCATGAGAGGTAGTGCCACGAAGATAGCGTAAAACTCGCTTAAGAGCCTGCCAGTGAACATCAGTGGGTTTGTGCATGAACTGTGAGAGACGACTAACAGCAAATGAAATGTCAGGTCGTGTGAAAGCAAGATACTGAAGAGAACCAACAAGCTTCCTGTATTCTAAGCCATCTGGAAGAGGAACGCCGGTGTTGAGAAGCAAGTTGGAAGTGGAAGCCAGCGGAGTAGCCACAGGTTTAGCCTCAGTCATACCCGACTTCTGTAATAAGTCCTGGATATAGCGATGCTGTGAAAGAAGGAGACAGCCATTAACAGACACAGCCTCAATGCCAAGAAAGTAACTGAGGTCGCTAGGCTCTTTGAGAGAAAAACGATGTCCCATAGTCCGGATTAAAGAGGTAATGAAAGAAAGGTTATTGCCGGTAACGATGATATCATCCACATAGACGAGAAAAAAGACCACAACAGACCCCCTGTTAAAGATAAACAAGGAAGAATTC